AGCTTCTTTTATATTTTAAACCTTAAGGACTATACTTCACACATGATATAATATATTTATACACAACAGTTGTTGGATAGGTTTAAGTGGGTTGTCGTGTCTCTGTGCAGGCTGATGGTGGGATGCAGCTCCTCGGCTGGTTCTCCAGGAGAAGTTTGGTTCCACGTGATGAACCAACCGACTCTGCCTCCCGCTCAGCCAACTCCAGCCGCTGCCGCTGTGCAGCTGAGGATTGCCACAGGTGATGGTTTTTCTTTAAATGTCACATCAGTCACGGCTCTGGAGCCTCTTGACATTTTTGTCCAGAACCAACAGGCTGACGTCTGAAGTCCGAGCAACACTTGAACTTTGTCCGACTCGGCCGAGCATTTCTTTTTTTTTTTTTCATTCCGATATTCTTTTCCCTGTAGACGAGTCCTTCACCAGCTTCCACCCTGAAGCTCACCTTCCTCTCAGCCTGATGCGAGGCCGACCGGTTTACGTGGAGGCGAGCCTGCAGGCGTCCCCGGATCCCAACCTGGTGCTGCTGGTCCACTCCTGCCTGGCGTACACTCAGGTTCCCTACGCCAGCTGGATCCCTGTTTACGACGGGTGAGTTCATGCAGGGGTTGGAAAAAAAGAAAAAGCTGATTAATCTTATTTAACTGTATTGTAAGCTGGGGACACACCCACTGATATTGTTCTTAAAAGCATAATTCTTGAACGTTATTCTAACATTGTGTTGCACTAAGAACGTTTAACTAACAAATGAAAATGTTTTGCAATAAGAAGACATGTAATGTAGAGTTAAAACAATATTTAGCCAGAAATTCCTTTGAGATTTTAAGGAACTGACCAAAAATCAAACCACTATGAAGTCACACAAAAATATAGAAAAACAGACAAAACAACAACAGACATGGGACGAAAGTAAAACATCAGGAGACTAAAGAGACCCCAAATAAAACACCACGTAGAAATGGCAGAATATGGAAGATAGAAAGGTGCTTTGTCTAAAAAAACAAAACAAAAAACAGTAAAATCCACTGTCGGTAACACATCCCACCATGAACACGTTCTTTCTCCTGCTTCATCGCTTTGGTGCTAAATTATGACAAAGTGACACAAATACTAAAATGGACGGACTGATGAGCGAACTGCAAAATCTCAAGAGTCATCGTTGCTCGCTGAAGTATTTTCACATGTCGCCTCCTTTTCCCCCCTCGGTGCCTCATTCTGAAAATTCACCTCCTGCACGATTTGTTTCTGTTTAAAAAGTGGAAAAAAAAAAAAACAGTTTCCTCCTCTGAGCCCTTCAGCACTCTTACTTTCCAGCACACCTTGCTGGTGAACCACCCATATGGACTCAGACCTGATAACCCGGACGGCCACATAGCAAATCAGAACACACTGTTCCACACATTCCTAAAGGAGAACATTCAGTTCAGTGTCCTGCTCTATTGGATACAAGTCGTTTGACTTCATCCCGTAAGTCTCACCCAGACAAACGTCTCCACATTAAAAAAACAACTCGATATGTCGACATGAGGCAGTCAGAACAGATCAGATCATTCTTCAGCTACTTCTCATCAAGGTATACGGTTTCTTTGTTTATCAGACAATGAGTATGTTTTAGACGGGAGCTGTTTCTACCTTTGACATGTTTCGATTGCACGGTGTCTCGGTGGTTAGCACCGTCGCCTCATAGCTAGAAGTTCGCTGGTTCACGTCCCGGTGAGGACACCCGGGATCTTCCTGCGTGGAGTCTCCATGTTCTCCCCGTGCAGCGTGGGTTCTCTCCGGGTTCTCCGGCTTCCTCCCACAGTCCAGAAACATGCTGAGGTTAATTGGTGATTGTAAATTGTCCGTAGGTGTGAATGTGAGTGTGCTTGGTTGTCTGTCTCTAAGTGTAGCCCTGTGATAGACTGGTTACCTGTCCAGGTGAACCTGCCTTCACCCTGAGTCAGCTGGGATAGACTCCAGCCCCCCAGTGAGGATGAAGGTGTAGCGATGATGGATGTTTCCACCGTCACTTCCTCAGAAACACCATCTGACGTCTGTGGTGATGCGTCTTTATCAGCTGGTGGTTTCCTGGAGGCGTGACCCGCCCGGCAATCTGTCAGATTTGTCCGCCTCCTGCTGGAGAGCGTCCCATGTGTAGGACAGCATGACGCCCCCTCATCACGGTTCATGGTGTCTTTGGCTCGCCTCCTGACTTCTGTGGCCTCCTTGATCCAGCGTCTAAATGATGATCTTTGTCCCAGTCCATGATGTGTTTTTTTTTCCTTTGCAGTGGTTTGATACGGCTGATTCACCTGTTCTGCTTTTTCTTTTTCTTTTTGTGATCTTGTGAGTCGACCTGATGTTTCCTTTCTCTCATTCTCAGACCAATAATCAGAGGAGACAAAACGAACCTAATCACGCTGTGACTTCTCGTCAGTTCTTTCCACCGGTTTTCTGACGACTTTGAACAATCAGTGGAACACAAAATGAGATTCAACAACTCGGAAAAGAAACAAAACAAAAGACAAGAATGCTGTGATATCTGAAAGTACCGGTTCTTAACTGAGCACACAGCTTCTTGCATTCTAGGTGGTTCTGCATCCTCTTTTTGTTTTGAGGATGTCGTCTAAATATCCTCCCTCATTGTTCCTTTATGGAGCTTCTGTTGAACTGAAATCAGAAATGGATGAAGGACAGTTTTGTGCCAGATTCCAATCCTAGTTGCCAATCCTTTCTGTAGCCGGTCGTTCTTCTGGCAACTGAAAGAGGCGGTTCCACAACCAGTTCACCGTGAGCTTTACAAGAAGTCGCTCCCATCCCGTGTCCCATTCAACGGTTGCATAGCAGTCAATTTGTACAGCCAAAGACAACATGATGGAACTTGCCGGAATAGGATTATGTCGAAGGCCTGCCTGGTTCTCGACTGTAATTCAATCTGTGGGGATTTTTTTTTACAGTGACAAAACTCAAGAGTGCAAGAAAAAGAAAGACGTTTTGTTTCTGATAAACATACAGTGTGTCTGCACAAGAAGTTCACGCTTTGCACTGTTGAGTTGGTGTGTTTTTGGACTTTGCTGAGCTCTAAAACGTGAAGGCGGCCGCTTGTATTATGTGACAACATGATTCCCCCCCAAAAAATCAATCTGTTTATTATGTGCTCTCCTTTATATGTAGGAGAAGTAAACTTATTTCTAAACCAGAGTGCTTCACAGAACAATATCATACGAAGAACTAAACCACATCATAATTAAAGTATGATGTTCATATATGAAATATAATACGTACATACCAGGTGTGTCAGAAAAGTTCCAGGACTGAAGTGCTGCTCATGTTTAGTTTTGTTTTTCCATGAAAATCGTTATTTCCTGCCTTAAAAATGGCTTCGATGTAACTCAAGCTGACCTTAGTGTCCCCGTCTCCCTCTTCACCCACTTCCCCCCTCTCGCTGCAACTCGGCACACCAGCTCACCGTCCACTCAAACAAAAGCCACTAGAAAACTAGTCTACACCACACAAAGCAAGCTGTAATATTGGAGTGCTTAACTTTAAAAATGATTGTGAAAGGAGAGCACTGATGCAGGAAGTCTCACCCTGCACGTCGACAGGATTGGTTCTTTAAGTTTGTTAAACCCTGGAAGTCTGAATCTGTGTTTTTGAGACCGTCATTGGAAATGTTCAGCCCCGGCACCGACTGCTTAATTTGCTCATGATGTGTCTTTAAGAACAAAAAACATCATATGGACTTGTTTTTTGTTTTTATTTTGTATTGCATCTTCTTTATACCCAACGACATGTCCTCCAGCAGGAACTGAAGCCACTGTCTGATAAAGACATATTTCTGTGTACTTTGGGTGATTACGATGTTGGTTCGTTGCCTGTCTTGACGAATATTGGCCGCAACATTCAGTAAAGATTGTCCCGAGGAAATGGCTCGTATAGAATTTGTTAACCTCCATTTTCCCTTTTTTTATCCTGTCCTCATCCTTGGGTAGATGTTTCCTTATTGATCCCACAGTAGGGACATGTTGCCGTGGATTGTCTGTTATAACCAGTGGTTGGTTCCCTGCATGCAAATATCCCCCCACAACTCCTGCCATCACTTTTTCCAGGAAACACAGAAGCCACATCCCTCGCTCAGCCCAGCCCACGACGACTATGATTGGTTTAGAGAAACACAAACAAGCTGGAGTGGTACTTTTTTTTCCTCCCTCCACAGCAGCGTGGTAGTCGTGTGGTGCAGCCATGTTGTGCACTACAGAACGGGCTGGCAAAGCAAGACAACCCAAAAAAAAACTTTAAATGTGACTGTATCTGAAAACACAAGTTTAATTTTAGTAGGAAGCTGTAGAGAACGTTCTGCAGAGGAGGGGTTTCCATTTAAATGACGGGGCGTGTAATAAATCATGACCATCACCAGTTTAAAGTTTCCGTTGTAAAGGTTTAAACACTATCGCTGTGGGTGTCGTCGGCCTCAAATCCCAAACAGAAGATCATCCTCGTGTTTAGTCTGCAGACGTTTTTTGGCTGTAAAGTGCATTCACTATTGTGTGCCGTTCAGCTGTTCCAGCCGCGGCGTTTCGCAGCTGCTTCCTTCCCCAAACTCCCACCACATCCGGAGGATCGCAATTTCCAGTTTCTTATCTCATCCCCTGGAAGGTTCACCCTACTCTCTCCTGCAAGACCCAGAGGTACCTCCCACTGAACAGACAAACAGCTGTTCTTGTCTCACAATGTGTTGCATTAGAGTCTAGGCCTCGTGAAGGTGAGTGAACCCTAATGCACCATAAAGACCATTCATAACGGCAGGTTTTGTGCTATTATGGAGTACAGCTGTTTCAACCCTTTTCTTTCCCCCCCTCACAGATCTACTTTTCATGCCTGACAGAAGTGTGCTCTGCTGCCGACAGCGACTGTACTGTACGCTGTCCGAAAGGTAAGAACAGAGGAGGAACTGGGCAGTGGGCTGGTGGGAGAGGATAGTAGAGTTCTTATAAATATGTTCATTTAATAGAAAACCCTCGTCTGAGCACATACACTCGCTGAGCACTTTATTAGGAACATCATCAACCAGGACGGCCGTTCTTTGGTTCTTTGTGGCAAGGATTCCACAAGATGTTGGAAGTTCTTCAGGGAATGTGATCGTGTGGGAGTGACTGCATCTGAATATTTCTGCAGATGTGAAGCCTCTAATCTCCTGTTCTGGTATATCTTAAAGGTTGACTGGGAAGGTCACTGAAATCCACTGAAGTTTGGTTTTTTGCTCTGTGACAGTGAAGAGAGTGAATAATGACCATGAACAGACGGATGCAGTCAGCACATTTCTTAGTCAGGCTGTGATTGATTGGTATTAAGGGGTCAAACTAATGGATCTCCAGCAGCTTGTTGTCAAGTTCGACACCAGTCTGTTAATGATCCATTAATCTGAGTCCGGTGTGTTGCAGTAACGTCTAAAACCTGCAGGACAGTAGCTCACGAGGACCAGAGTTGGACATCCCCGACTTAAGTCATGTGATCGTTGGGTTGTTAACGGCTGAGAATAAATACTTGGGACTCCCTACCTGTCAGTTAGAACTGAAGAAGCCAGTTGAAAAGGTGAAACAACCAAAAAAATTATCTAGTTGCCTTCTATCAGCATTAAACCACCTGCAGCAGCCTGACTTATCAACACAGGGCAGGTTGGCTCGGTGACTTCATGCTGTTGGTTCTGATGCACCCTTTGCAGTGTCAGCGGAAATCAAGATTCGTCACAGTGACCTACTTCTTCCCAGTCCTCAGCTGTCCAGTGGTGGTTCTGATTTCTGTTCTTGGCTGGCAGGAGGTGAACCCGGCCTGGTCCTCTGCTGCGTCAAAGTTCAGGATGTTGTTCTGTTAATCTGCTTTTTGCTCATCTGGGTTACACTAGTCTTTATTTCAGCACTAACCAGTCTGGTGTTTCCATCCACTGAGCTTATTTGTTGTCGTTTCTGAGTAAACTCTAGTCTTGTTGTTTATCCCATTGGATCAGTGGGTTCATAAATACTCAAGTGTGAGTGTGACGTTGATGTGAATGTTACCTAAAGCTCAGGAGTTGGTGCCACGATTGGCTTTTTGTATGACTGCATGATTAAGCAAAGGTACAGATGTACCTAATAAAGTGCTCAGCGAATACATCTCAATATTACCAACAGCCTTAACTGACCATTTATCTTTACCCCGGGGTATTTACACCACTGAGTGTGTTGTGGCTACAAACTTCTCCAATATTAGTAAATCCCATTTACCAACATCTAAATAAATTCAAAAAGCTTCCACAAAAGACGGCTGCTAAAAGTCCACAAGATAGAATTTGAAAAATCAACTCCAGAAAAGAGAAATGATAAAAAAAATAATCCAACCTGTGCATTAAATGTGTGATTTACCAGCTTTGACTGTGGACTCGTACATTAACTTCTTCTCTCCTCGCAGGTCCTAACGGTGACGTGTGAGCAATGAAATAAAGACACTTTGACACAGCTGCCATGTTGTTTTTTTGTGGTTTTATGGAAACAAGTACAATTTTCTACAGAGTATTAAGTTCAAAAACGTGTGAACTTAACGATATAGTGCAATGCAACAGTTAGTAGCTACGGAGAAGGAACAAGCAGTTTTCTTTCTGTGTGCATTACGTTGGTCACAGAGTGGAACGAATAGGAATGAAAGGTTCAGCTTTACTGTTGTTCTCAGTATCAAACATGCACATCCAGAAAAAAACAAAAACAGCTTTTAAACATTTCACAACCTTAAACAGAACCCGATGACAAAGAAACCTGCAGAACATTCGTCACATTCGAGGGGTTTGGTTTCACTTTCTGTTCGGTCCCGTTCTCCTCTGGACAGGCATCATGAAGACAGTAAATGGAATGAAATTGGCACAAAACGACGGCAAAGGAAGGAATGACCGTACCAAGTACAGAACAGGAGTAGAACCGGAGAGATCCGGTCATTACACCCTGACGTGCCGAATGGCGGCTGTGACGAGCAGAATAAAGATCAAACAAGGCACCTGAAGTCAACGTGTCAACACTGTGATTTGACCAGAATATAGCTTATGAAAGATTCTTTTTAAACAAAATGATCCCTTTTTACATGTGTAGCTCAGCGATGCTTGACCCAGTGAATGTTTAACACAAAGGCACAAAACTTAAGCAAAAAGCAAAATTTCTAAGCTGCTGGCGTAATGCTACAGATCACTACATATGAAAATAACAGCTAAAATGGAAATGTCTCTCTCCCATTGTCCAACCAACTGAATCTGTGAAACGTTCAAATCGTACAATGATGAACCGCCGCTAGGCTAGCACGCTAAACGGTCATTTTATTTACAACGGGTCAGAATGTAATGTTATAGGATTTAAAAGATGCATTTTAACTCAACTGTGGCTCCAAAAGTAATGTGATCAGCGCTTCACATACAGAGGAAGGTCTGTAAACATTATCCTGCTGGTTGGGCGGTGGTCTTTGTCGATGAGGCAGAGGAGAGTAAAAGGTCGGACGCCCTGATCCTTCTCTTCTTAGTACACGGTTGAATAGTACGTGGTGACCGCTTGATGGCTTTTCTTGATTTGTTTCAGGAGGATACCGCTGCAGACCAGGGCGGTAATCTGTCATGCAGACGGAAACAGAAGGAGGAGGGGAGGTAAAGAAAGAGCTGGGAAGGGACGAAGAGGTGCGCAGCGAACAACCTGCTTCCTCCGAGAACAAATCGGCCGCAGAGCGAACCGCTGTGAACACTGCACACAGCCAGCTGGTGTGAAAGTGAAAAGGGCAACATGATCTGTGACGGATAAGGAGAAATTTAGAGGACAGTCCTAACCCTGCTGGGGTGTTAGCTGTAGATATCAATATGTAGGTGATCTGGTTGGAGAACAGTGGAAACTACAAAGTCAACACGATGCCGTATTCAGATAGTCTTGCAGCTAGCTTTGAGACCATAAACCCATTAAGAAAATGTTTATTAAGGCAACAATTAGAGTCTTTTTCTCATAGACTTCTACACAATCTGACGTCTTTCTGCAGCCAGAGGAGTCGCCCCCTGCTGGCTGTTAGAAATAATGTAGGTTTAAGTCACTTTTACTTTCTTGTATCAGTGAGAAAAATATGCCAACAACCCAACGCATAACAGTAGGAGTAATGCCATTGTAGCCGTCTTGAGCTTTTTAGTGTTTTTTTGTTTTTTTTTAAGAGGGCTGAAGGCACCCTGCGGCGGCCATGCTGAGAGAAGCAGATGAAATTTGTACCGTCGATGCCAAAGAACTGTGGGATAATATCAAGACGGCACAACAGTGAGCACGACAGCAGACAAAAAGCACACTAAGCCTGAGCCACGGGGATGTTTGCCGTTGTGAGAGGGGTGAAGATGACTGGATCCTGCTCGGGGTAGGAGGTGGAGACAAAGCCATGCTGAGGCGGCTGAGGGCCTGCCAGGGTAGGAGTGGATTGAGTCAGGATAATGTACTGAGGAGATGAGGCGGACTGAAGAATCTTTGAACGCAGGATCGTGCTGCAAATCAGAGCTGTGATCTTTGGGGAGCATTGATTGGAAGGATGACATGAGGAGAGAAAGGCAGGGGGAGGAATGTTGATGGTTAATGGAGACAGAGGGGTGCATAGCAATTAGAACATGGACATTCACTTAC